TTCAATATGCCAGACACAGTAACAACAAAGTCTCCAATGGAGACGTTACTGGGCCCGCTCGAGCAAATCGACGATCAACGGGAGGGCCTTTACTTTACTTTATATGAATATATGACCCCAACCATTCCTGTCATCCTTGGGAGGGGAGGCCTTGAATGTCTTTGAGAGCCAGGACAGACAGACTAGGACAAGGAAAAGAACAGAACAGGGACAGTCCAACTGTCAAGGGTCCTCACGCAGTCCTCACTTCAGGTAAGCTGCTGCAGGCTCTCCCAGTGGAATCAGGGCTGGCCCAGAGACGGAGTGAAGAGGTCTCAGAAGCAAATGACAGACATGGTCAGGAGAGGCACAGGAAAGGGGGGTGCCCCGGGCTCCTCAAAGGGGTGGGGCGGTTAACTGACAGCCATAAAAGAAAGCATCTCCCAGAGAGTCTGAGATGAGGAAACGCCCAGTCTGGACGCACCTGGGTCCACCGTCACTACACAGCAGGGCAGCGGGGGCCCCGTCACGACTCCAGCTGGTGAGCGCCACTCCAACACTGACCGGGCAGTGATGGGAGCTGATGGCCAGCCTCAGTCCCGGCTCCTGACACTTCCCCTTACTCACTCCTCTCCACAGACAGCAAAATGCCAGTGTGTTCACTAAGGAGAGACTTACTACATCTTTTTGGCATCACTGTCTGATTCACTATCCACCCCTTGGAAATTAAAGAGGCCAACCCCTTAATGACTGTTACTCTGGTATTTACTTCCCTTGGAGCGTCTGGAGCATCGGGGAGAATTAACAAAAAAAAAAAAAAATCTTAGTTCAACTCTGGAATAAATTTCCTAGGGTGGGAGGGGGGGATCCGTCCCAAATTCAGTTAAAAGAACTATAAATTTTCCTCTGGAAAAAAGAATACCCCATTAAGTCTGAGATAAGAAGACTGTTAGTCCTTCATATAAAAATGTGGAGGTCGGGGGTAGGGTGGGCAGAGAGAAAGTACAGCAGGTAGGGTAGTTACCTTACATGTGGCCAACCAAGGTTCTATCCAGGCACTGCATATGGTCCCCCAAGTTCCACTGGGAACTCTCTCTGAGCACAGAGCTAGGAGGAAGCCCTGAGTACAGCCAGGTATGACCCCACCCCCCATTAAAAAAGGAAGTTTCATAACAAGGGAATGCAAGGTTTCAAGAGGGGGAGGGAGGATACCTAGATTAGCTTTGACCCTAGATTACATCAATAAAAGGAAAGAAATTAAAGGATGAAGAAGAGACAAACAAAAAGTAACAGGAACAAGGGTCAGAGGGTTCAGGCACATGGATGGAGCAGAGATATATATAACCACTGAGACTACAATACTGCAAGCAGGAGACTCTAAACTTCAATAACCAAATCTTAAAATGTGCCTGTTCAGGCCGTAGGCTGGGGGTGTGGAAGGGGACATTGGCGGAAGGACACTGGCGGTGGGGCTGGTGTTGGAACAGTGTATTCCTGAAACTCCACTATAAATAATTTTGCAAATCACGGTGCCTATATTTTTAAAAAGATCAAATTTTGTCCAGGGCCAAGAGAGTACAGGGTGTAAGGCGCTTGTCTTGTATGCAGCCAAGCCCAGTTCGATCCACACCACTGCATTATGATCTGCTGGGCACAGAGCCAGGAGCAATCCCTAAGCATTGCCAGGAATGGCCCCCAAGCCCCATCCCACCCCACCCTACCCAAAAAATACCCTCAAAATTTGCTAAATTCAAATTATGAAATCTATGCTGATCCCCATGTTGAACACGCATTTTACCTGTTTACCAACAAAAACAAAGAAGAAAAGAAAAAGAAATCACACAAGGCAAAACAGTAGGATTAAAAAACCTTGATCCCTGTCCATGAATTACCTTCCCCAACAGTTGGGTGGTGGGTTGTAATTACCACAGCTCTACTGGCAGAAGAGACAGCTACACTGATTTGAGGACAGAGCCTTAAAGTTCGAATGCCTCTTCAGGCACAGGGAGGACAGAAAGCCAAGGGACATCAGTGATTAACAGGCAAGATTACTCAAAAACTGTTAGACCCTATTGTTAGGCTCAAGTAAGTAATTCTTAAAAACCTATTCAGGCTCTTAACTTTGCAGCCCTCCTACCTGCAAGTGACCCAACGGACACCCTGAGCCATTCCTGAATTGGGAAATATAGAACAATTTTTTTCTAGCAGGCCTGATCTAAAGGGATCAACTCTCTCAAATCCTGAGCAGAATGGTTTAGGGATAAAAATAGTTCAAACTATGCCATCCTCACACTACATTTGGAAGTGTGCTGTTTGGAAGAAGGGTATTAACTTATTGCAAAAAAAAAAAAAAAATCTCCAAAAAAAGTTGACATTTTAGAACTTGTTTCCTCCTGGTTCTGAAAGTTAATGCTTTAGCTCTTTAAGCAGTATCTTTAGATCAATACACTAAACTTAAATGTAAATATAATCACTGCTATCTAGCCCGACCAGGCTCATCTTTCTCTCTCCAACATAATCCCCAAACAGAGCCAAGTGACTGGGTGTTACTCAAAACCCCCTCCCCACACTCAGCCTCTACAGCTCAAATGGACTGGCCCCTTACAGATACTTTTAACAGCTGTGACAGATGTTACATTGTCAGACTATCCATCCGAGAACCCTCTTTCCCATATATCATGCAAAGTTCCTCCCTCCAGAAACACCATTCAATGATAACTGGGAATGCAAACCAGAGGAAGATCTCAAACTTCTCAAGTGGCATCCCGTAACACGTGACAAACAAAACTCCACCCTGGTAGACCCAAGCCTTATTCAGGGCATGTTCTTCATTATCACCTAGACCCTCTTCCTCATTAATCTCCGATGGGTCATCATTAACCCTGACTCGACTATTACCTCTCCCCCTTTCTTGGATGTGGGTCATCAATAAACTCACCTAACTGACCTACACCCACCTAATCCCTAAAACCCTGCAACCATATTCCTACTCATTGGTCCTCAGAGCCCTTCCATCTATTCTCTTTTCTACTATTTTCTCAGTGCTCCTTGAGACTCCTGGTGATTTCTTCTTGACTGCCTAACTTCTAAGTTCAGAACCTTGCAGAATTTCACTGTCCAGGATATTTTCATTTTCCCCAAATCTCCTTTTTGGTTTGTGTTTGTTTTTCTGGGTCATACCCGACTGTGCTCAGGGCCTACACCTAGCTCTGTGCTCAGGGATGACTCCTGGCAGAGCTCAGGGGACAATACGGGATGCCAGGTATCAATCCAGGTCAGCCACATTCAAGGGAAGCAAGCGCCTTACCACTGTACTATTGCACCCCTTCACCTCAAACTCCCTTTTATCCTCTACTTCTTTTCTTTCCAAAATACCATCTTAGTCTCATAAATTCAACTGAGGAACCAACACCTCTTTACCTCAAACAGCTTACATAACATTAGTGACATCACTAAACCCCTTTTCTGCCAGAAGTAGCTATAGGACACAAATCTTTGTCTACTTAAAGATTTTTGCGCTTTGAATTAAAAAGCGATAATGAAGGTCCTGTTCCCATTATTTAGAAACAATTAGTGATGGTTCTGTTCCCATTGTTCAGAGGTGCTTAATGATGGTCCTATTTCCATTCTTCACAAACGATTTTTGCACAAAGTGGCAGAGACCACACAGACTTTCTCTTGGGAATACCTGGGACTCCCCGATTATGACTGCTGGGCACATCCCTTTAAAAGCATGTCCCTGCGGCCTACCCAAGGAAGCTGTTCCCCCCTCAACCTGGTCACCCTCAGAGTGTGGCTCTGCCTGCTGGGGAGGGAGGAGGAGGAGGAGGGCTATGGGAGGGAGGGGAGAGGAAGGGAGGGGAGTGGAGGGGAGGAAAACCTTTACTGTACTCTGCATTCTGCCTTCATCAAATCTGTAAATCTGCCTCAGGAGGAAAGACACCAGACATTTTTGGTCACGATTATAACCCCAATAACCAGTTATATAGTTCATAAATATTAAACACACTCAAAAATGCTGAAGGTCAACCCGTATCTGTGGGGTCAGTGCATCAGCAGTCTGATGGTGCTTTCAGGCTTCCTGATACCCCAAATTGCCACGGTGCCTCTGGCCAGAACCCAACAACTTGGGGCCAAGAAATTAAAAGGCCAAAAGTTAGGTATGTGGGAGCCACGCCCACAAATCAACTCCGCTCAGCTCCACAAGCTCATTTATTGCCTTTATTTCAGAGACTCATAAATAAATCTCGAAAGACATCAAGACCAGTTAATCTTGGGCCCGCGCGTGGCTGAACAGACTGGGGTAAATCAGAAGGGGCAGGTTAGGCTGGTGTCCGCCCAAACAGAGCCCCTGGCAGCCGCTTGCTTCCACAATCCACAATCACTGCCATACCCTGGCCTGACTCTTGACTTACACGTCAATGTTTCTTCTTTTATTGGGTTCAAAATAAAAGACTAACATTTTATGTAGAAACTGGCTTAGGCTTAAGTTTTGTTTTGTGGCCACACCTGAAACGTGCTCAGAGACTATTCCCAACTTGATACTTGAAAGGAGCTCCCAGAATCCTGTAGGTACCATACGGTACAGCGAATTCCAATTCCCAGGCTGTTTTATTTATTTATTTATTTATTGCTTTTTGGGTCACACCCAGCGATGCACAGGGGTTACTCCTGGCTCTGCACTCAGGAATTACTTCTGGCAGTGGTCAGGGGACCATATGGGATGCTGGGAATCGAACCCGGGTCGGCTGCATGCAAGGCAAACACCCTACCCGCTGTGCTATCGCTCCAGCCCCTCCCAAGCTGTTTTAAAAACACAAATCCAACTGCAAGTCTCTCCACATACATATTAGAGCAAAATACCTAAGGTAGCATAATAAATAAACTACAGTTTTTAAATTATTTTAATAAATCATCAAAATAATCCTTGTTAATAAACATGCCTTAACATCGGTTCTGATTTTTGGAAATACTATAGATTTGAAATCCTCAATTTTATCTGACAATGCAGAAACCCTTACCTTGGCATTTCCCAATAATAGATGTAAAATCATCTTTTGCAGACCTGTAAAACACGTGAAAAAGCAAAACAGTTTTACCATAACGTTATTGTAAGCTATACAATGAAACACCACCAAATACCAAAGAAACTGATGACTAAACAACTTCTCTACATAAAAACAACAACAAAAATTCCTTCTTACTGTGATCACTTTGTGCCTCTAAGAGAAACTAATTTTTTTCTCTGTTGCTTCTTTTTTTAAAATTTTATTTTCATAAAGTTTTACACTACACTACACTTGGGCTGTGTAACCCCATCAACGGCCAAGAACCAGAGACTATAAAACCAAGCTCCCAGAAGAGAACAACACAGAGTCTCCTGTCCCTCGTGTCTGGCTGTCCTCACCGGGGCCCCTTGGAAAGGGGCGTATTGAGTTTCCCTCTCGACCCTGAGCAGAGCCACAGCAACTGAAGACCTCCAGGATCCAACCACAGCCATGCTAAGACCACTCTCCACATGCTAGGACGAGCCTCACGCATGAAGGAACCACCAGAGGAACCCAGGTATGCGGGACCTGGGGCTGAGATCTCCAAGCCTGCTCAGATCGGGACTGGGCCTCCTCCACCCAGATCCCCCATCTTCCAGAAGCTAGACTGTTACACCCACCAACTGCTGTGTAACCCCACCAATGGCCAAGATCCAGAGACTACAAAACCAAGCTCCCGGACCTCTTATTGTCTAGTTCTCACTCTCAAAGAACCTGGCAAGCTACCGAGAGTCTCCTGCCCGCATATATGCCTGACTGGGAACACCTGTAAACGTGATTAGAGGCTGCCCCAAAAGGCTCCATCCCTCTTGGAGAGCCCAGCAAGCTGCCGAGAGTATTCTGCCCACACGGCAGAGCCTGGCAAGCTACCCATGGCATACTCGATATGCCAAAAACAGTAATAATGATGGCTCTCATTCCCCTGATCTTGAAAGAGCCCCCAATATGCCATCGGGCTACACTAGCACATGACAGGGATGGAGATGTTACTGGCACCCACTCAAGCAAATCCATGAAAAATGGGGTGATAGTGATAGTGAAAGTTTTTCACAGTAATTGATTACATTCAATATTTCAACACCAATCCCACCACCATTACCGCTTCCCAATACCATTATTTTGATGTCCCACCACCACTCAAGCCTGCTACACCGGCAGATGCAAGATAATTTATTTTTTATTGCTTTTTATGAATTGCATAAGGTGTCTATAAGGATCTATGTCATAGTGATTTAACAAAGAGCAAAAAATAAATGTTCCTGGATTTCTAAGAGAAACTTTTATTGTGACAATACCCTCACACAATTTTATCTCATTATTAATGATCCAACAATTCAAATTATACAGCTATTCCAGGAAGATAATTATAAGTATATACAAATAATACATAAATTAATGCACCCTGATTTATGAAAAAGATATGTGGACTCAGTATAAGGAATATGTGAGTTTACCAAATGCACGCAATGCAACATTATGCCATTTCCAAAAAATGACTTGAAAAGGTGTTCATGTTTTGAAAACAGTATTATAAACTTATTAAGAAAATTATCAAATAGAATGTATAGTATCATTCTACTACAACAAAATGTTGATAGTAGACAACTCTGAAAAGTAGAAATATAGGAAATTTGTACTGCACTCTTCCTATTTAACTACACTGTCTAATAGTTAGAAAATGTCTAACATTAGTTTTTCAGGGAACCTGGGAGTGGAGCCACACCCGTCAGTACTCAGAGTTTACTCCTATTCCAGTGCTCAAGGGTTCCTCCTGGTAGTGCTGGGGGACCATATGTGGAGCTGGGTCGACCACATGCAAGGCAAGTGCCTTAACCCCTGGACTATCTCCCTGACCCATCTAAGCATTACATTTCCAACAAATTTTAAAGACTAATATTTTTAGCTATGTTTTCAAACATTATATTTTATTATGACAAGTCAATCATAAATAGACACTCAATTTCCTCAAATATTGGACTGTTCAGCAGAAAGAACACAGTCTCCGAAGCGAAGGAACCGGTGTCAGCTTTATCTGGACTCTGGATAAATGTTCACTGTGGATTTAATTTTATTTTCAACACAAAGGTAATAAAACCTTCACAGCTTAATGGAAGAATTAAGTCAATCATTATGTATAAGGAAGGATGAACCAGATCTAAATAAATGTTCATTCATTTCATTATAAATATAATCATAAATAACAGTTGTTCTTTTCTGAAGGGAGTGGAAGGGGGGGGAGAGAGAGAGAGAGAGAGAGAGAGAAAGAGAGAGAGAGAGAATTTGGTTTTGCTAAAACTTCACAGAATTTAATTCATTCAAGACTATTTCAAAGGCCCCAGGAAGATAGTACAGGGGTCAATGCACGTGCTCTGCAAACAGCCCATTGATCCCGGCACCATATGGCCCTCAACTCCATCACACATAGCCGTGAAGAAAGCCAGCTAGAGACCTAGAGATCCTCACACCACAAGGCAATGACCCTGCAAACCAGGAGAAGCATTGTATTCTCAGGCCCTGGCACTGAACAGTCACTCAACTCGGCTGAGTATCACTGGGGCTGGCACTGGGACCCCCTAAAGACCTCTTGGGAGGTCTGGAAAAAGGTAATCAAACAAACTTGGGGAGATGCCTTTGTCATAAGACATCCTTACTGTAATGGGTTTTCTTGTGTGTTCTCTGGTGGTTTCTAACTAATCCTCATATTTACAATACACCAAAATTAAGAAATTATTACTTCCTTATTTAAGAGGGTTGAGTTTCCCTCTCCGACCTGAGCAGAGCTCCGGCAGCTGAAGACCTCCAGGACCCAGACACAGCATGCTGAGACCACTCTCCACACACTAGGCCAAGCCTCACGCATGAAGGAACCACCAGAGGAACCCAGATGTGCGGGACCCGGGACTGAGATCTCCAAGCCTGCTCAGTTCAGGACTGGGCCTCCTCCACCCAGATCCCCCATCTTCAAGTAGCTAGACTGTTACACCCACCAACTGCCGTGTAACCCCATTAATGGCCAAGATCCAGAGACTATAAAACCAAGCTCCCGGACCTCTTATTGTCTAGTTCTCACTCTCAGAGAACCCGGCAGATTACCGAGAGTCTCCTGCCCGCATATATGCCTGACTGGGAACACCTGGAAAGGTGATTAGAGGCGGCCCCAAAAGCCTCCATCCCTCTCGGAGAGCCCAGCAAGCTACCGAGTATCTCGCCCACACAGCAGAGCCTGGCAAGCTATCCGTGGCGTACTCAATATGCCAAAAACAGTAACAATGATGGTTTTCATTCCCCTGATCCTGAAAGAGCCCCCAATGTGCCATCAGGCTACACTAGCATGTGACAGGGATGAATGAAGACATTACTGGTGCCCACTCGAGCAACTCAATGAACAACAGGGTGATAATGATAGTGATATTTAAGGAGGGGAGAACATATTTAGCCACACATATTCTACACAAACACCAAGTTACAAATTCAAATAAGAGGTCACAAATTATTTTCTAATCAGCTAGGTGTGGCCTAACCCCACCCCCACCCACCTAAAACAGGAAGTGCCTGTTACAGTCATGTCAAGTGATGTGGTTTCTGAGAGACTGCCAATCTTGTCGATCATTTCTATCCTGATGATTGAAAGTGGACTCAGGAAGCCTCCCCACCTGAAAACAGCATCCCACTGAGGTCAAAGCCTTTGTCTACTCCCCAAAAGTTGAGAGGTCCTGCTCTGTTCGAATAAATGAAAAACAAAAATTCACAAGCAGAAAGTTAAAACCAGTGTGACAACTACCAGTTATCAATTATACTGGTTCTGTGCAGTGTAACAAAGTACTAAAAAAATCCTTTCTGATGGATACTGACATCCCGAAAGTATAAAAAATCCTTTTTTGACTGATACTGACATCCTGAAATTTCAGCTTCTCTATTAGTTATTTTAGGAAAGGGTGGGTATAGATTACAGCCCAAATAGTGCTCAGGACACCAAGGGGAAATTTCCAGCAATATTCAGTCAATCAGGCAATGCTGCTTGGGCTGATGATGCAAACGGCCACCAGGAGAAGACAATTGTGCTCAGGGGAGACAGGGACAGGGAGGTCACACTGGGTCATGTTGGGCTAAAGACTGAACTTAGGCTCCATGTATGCAAAGGATCCACCCCTGAACTCAGCCTCTATGCATGATAAGGATCCACCGCTGATCACTGAAATACCTCCCCAGCTCTCTCACTACTTATTTTTGAAACCAAACCAAAAAGTAAGAATTTCCTGGAAAAAGGAGTAGCTCCCAATGTGATAGGTGTGCTAGTGTTTATCTGTGACATTTAGTGTGCTAGTGTTTATCTGTGACAAAGAATTAACTAGTTGTCCTGAGTTAACTGCATCATTACCACTTTTCTCAACTGTCCTCCCGTTCATCGATTTGCTTGAGCAGACCCAGTAACATTGTGAGACTTGTTACTGTGTTTGGGATATTGAATACGTCACAGGTAGCTTGCCAGGCTTTGCCATGTGGGCGAGATACTCTCGGCAGCTTGCCAGCTCTCCGAGAGGGGCAGAGGAATTGAACTCGGATCGGTTGTGTTGGCCGCGTGCAAGGCAAATGCCCTACCCGCTGTGCTATCACTCCATTCTTTAAACATAAAGGACGTGGAAAATCTAGCTTAGGGTAGCCTTCTAGATGTGAATGGCACTCCACTGAATGCTTCCAGCGGACAGAGCTTGCTGGTCTTAATAAGTAGTTTTGATATTTCTCGGGCTATTTTCCACTACAGATTATGCCAAGGGAGCAAAGCAATTCCTACTTTATTAATACTTTTCCAAGCATCTGCTTAGCTGATTCAGAACTACTTAGTTCAGCATTTCTAAATTCTGAAAGATACGTCCCATCTACTGAGGAAATAAACTTTCTTAGGAAACCGAGGAGTGATCTGGGAAAGAAGAAAGTGAACATGCAACTCTGAGAAAATTTTTTGACTAAGACTTACCTTCCTCCTTCAATTACTTACAGTAATGCATGATGCCTCAAAAAACTGTTCATAGAAAAATCCCTTCAACTAAACCGCCTTAAAAAGCTTAGTTTCCATTAATCAAATACATTTTTTCTCAAAGCATATTCTGATTATGAATGACAGTAATAATTACCTAATCTCCACACACTGATCTTGAACAGCAGCCAAAAGTTTTCCATTGCTTAGAGAGGAAGAGAGAAAACAAATTCCATATAAATATTTATAGCAATCTCTGAATGAAATTATTTTTAAAATTCCTAAATTTTTAACAAGCTTTAAATATCCACCACGGACCTTATAATTAGAAGAGTATTTAGATACAAAAGCTTACAAATGATTCAAGAATTAACATATTTAAACAGCACTAGTGTGACAATACTAGTATGTAAACGATACTGTGACAAAGGGAATTTACATACAATAAAAATCATAACTGTAAACCATAAGGACCCATAAACTAATGTCCATAATAACATTTAAAGGCTAATCCAAGTAGAAAAAAGCTACATAAATTTTGTATGGTCTTACCTTGCTAGCACCAAATGCCAGTTTATCTGCTTATTAATCAAGCGAACCAGTTCATCAGGAAGCAAAAAAGGGGCAGGGCTGAAATCGTAACACAATGTCTCTCTTAAAATCGAATCGTAAACACTCATACAAGTAAATAATTTAAAACAGCATGTATATCTATAGGCGCATATTTTTCCCAGTAGACTTGCATTTTTTGAATATTCAAAATTTGAATACTTGAAAAACGTGAATACTTTTCAAACACTAACTGACTATTTGAAATCAACCCAGTATAGGCCTATATCCCTGGCTCCAAAAATCAGGACCGTTCATTTCCTTTCTCAGAAAAACAAATCTAGGGAGCCAATTACAAGGCGATTTCACTTGAAACCTTCCGGGCTAGGCCCACATGGGTATTCTGCCTCAGTATAACAAAAACACATTCTAGCACACAGGTAAATAATTTAAAAGGAGCAATCTTCACCTACCAGAAACGAAACAGGGATTGAAAAATGAGAATGAACGAGAGAAGAACTCAAACCTGGGCTTGACCCCTGGGCTAGGAAAAGCTCCATGGGCCTGGGAAGGGCGGGGGGTAGACAGTGAGACAGTGAGCCGGCGCCTGCACACAGCTCCCAGTCGGGAGGGAGAGGCAGACAAACCTCTCAGTGGGCGCAGGGAAACTGCAAGGAATCACATGGCGGCCTGGAACACTGATCTGCAGGAGCGGAGCATGAACTCCCCAATGAAAAGCTCAAAACCCTAAGTCTGCACGGGAAGCAAGGCTGGGCGGCAACTTCACTAGACTCAAGTGGTGTGAAAATTTCCAAGCGCACAATAACACCATTTTCAAAAGACATGAAGAAAACGGCCCGTTCTACGTGACTCAGCAATCGAATAAATGAGAGGAGTTACACATGAAGAGACAGCTGGAGAAATTGTAGAAGGAATAAATTATAATTAGAGTACACAATGGGGAGGGGAATATGGTGATGGTGAAGGTAGAGTAATTTTGTACATATGAAAACCATAAACATTAACACTACCGTAACTATGTTACCCAAACTACAGTTTTTAAAGAAAAGAACAAAACCTAGAAACCCAAACTAAAAATATTAATAACATACATGTAGAATATCTAATCTTCATTTTTTAATAATAAAATGCTTAATACAGGGGGAGTTTTAGAAATACTAAAATAAAATGATGAAACAAACACAGGCAATGAGAACATCAAAAAGAATGCACTCTCCTCTGGAGCATGGGTCAGGAGGCAGGTGAGGGAGAGAATCTTTTAGGAGGCACTTTCTGTTTAAGGAAAAAAAAATGGCTATCTAAAACTGATGAAACAACAGGTTTTAATTCCAATCTGACATGTGAAATGCAGGTTTATTACATTGCATATAACTGTCTTTGTGATATTTTATATAAAATAAAAACAGAAAAGCAGAGAGAAGAGGAGGAGAAAAGGGAGAGGGAGAGGAGAAGAGACGACTTTGAATTAAAGATTAGTCTCTAGTCTCCAAGGGCTGGAGCGATTGCACAATGGTAGAATGTTTGCCTTGCACGCAGCCGGCCGGCTGAGCCAGGTTCGATTCCTCCACCCCTCTCAGACAGCCCGGAAAGCTACTGAGAGTGCCTCACCCGCACAGCAAAGCCTGGCAAGCTACCCGTGACATATTCGATATGCCAAACACAGAACAACAAGTCTCACGATGGAGACGTTACTGGGCCCGCTCGAGCAAATCAATGAACAAGGAGAGGACAGTGCTACACTGCTCCAAGGTTTCAGGTTTAATTGCCATAAACTCAAAGACAAAAGCTTTATTTAAACCTTTCTGAAAATAGCCGAGCACAGAAAAATTGGATAATCATCTCAACCTGCTGACTGCTCAGCAAACCAAGAACATCTGAGAGGCAGAGTGGGCACTCCTGTCAGAGTCCAAGAAGAGTCTGAGCTAAGGAAAATCTGCCAACTGTGTTTTATCCCGTTGACTCACCCTACTCACTCAACTAACTCTTTCTCTCCCTCTCTCTCTCTCTCTCTCCCCGCTTCCCCCTTAGTGTCGCTCTCCCCCTTGTGCTCAGTCTCTCATGTGTCTCTCTCTTCCTCAGTCTCACTCTGTCCCTTGTGCAAGCTCACTCTCACACTTACTCTCTTGCTCACTCTCTTGTGTGCCTCTCATTCTCTTCCCTCAGTCTCGCTCCCAGTCTCACTCTCTCCTTTGTGGTCTCTCCTTCTCACTCTTGTTCTTTCTCAACTCTCTCGTACTCTCTCGCTCTCCTGCTCTCATTCTCTCATCAAAATCCACCCCCCTCAAAAAAATTAAATAAAACTAAGCAATTTAAATAGTGTGCAGATAGACACATGCGCACAAACACGCACACATGCTCCCTAGAGTAAAAGCAAAACACACTGGCGCTCTCCTTAAAGAAAAATCAAAGGTCTTTTTTATGAATTACATTTTATCCTTGGAGTTTTTAGGATTAGATGTCCTCCAGCCTTTTTCCTCCAAGGAAAAAAGCGATCTATAGTTAAAAAAAAAATTCTAAAACACAATTTCTGTACACATACCTAAAAGCATTATGTGTCTAAATAACCATTTCTTGGTACTTTTTAAGAGTGGAAATAGAACACCTAAAACATATTTAAAGCTCTGAAGAATTAAAAAGGACACAAATACTAAGACCTGAAAACCATTCTCTGAAGCAGAACACCTGACTATTATTGATCACAAGAGTTAATACAACAATAAGAAAAAAAAATGCTTTTGAATGATATGAAAGCTACAGATCCATCATGTGGGCATTCAAGAAACTGCTGAGAAACTCATCTGGGAAAATGGAAGTTTTCATGATACATCCTTAATAATGATTAAAGGAACCAAAATTGCCCTATACTTACAGATCTCTCATCAAGATATGCCAAATCTTTGAAGGATCTACTTTATAAACTGGGTTCACCCGAATGTTATTACCTATATCACAATCTAGGTCCAATTATGAAAACATAAATCATAGATATAATACTATTCTTCGCTTGTGATGTTCATACCGTTTTCTTAAGAACTGTCAACTTACCTATACCAAATGTACTGGGGTAAAAATAACAAACGATCTGTAATAAAAAAGAAATAACAAAGCCAAATATGAATCAGTTATTCAGAAAGAATTATTTTCAAATTGGACTGACAGCATATCTAAAATGTACAGCCAATATTACAAAATAAAACAAAACATGAAGGACACAAGTTTTAAATTAAAAGAGTCAATATCATCTACTACACACCAAAACTTTTATAGGATCATCTATTTATGTTAAGTTGAAAGTTTATAACTCTAAACATTAAAGTATGGAGAAATACTTTAACACATAAAAGCAAAAATGATTTATAACGTTAACTTTTATCTAAGAGGTCTTAGAACTGTGTACCATAAGTCATATTTTGCCATAGGAAGTAAAACTTTTTTTTAAAAGTACCATTTCTCACTTTATAACATAGATCATAAAAAATAATATTCCTATATTGGGAAAGTCCATAAAAAAAAAAATACCGACGCTGGAGCAATAGCACAGCAGGTAGGGCATTTGCCTTGCACGCGGCCGATCTGGGTTTGATTCCCAGCATCCCATATGGTCCCCTGAGTAATTCCTGAGTAATTCCTGAGTGCAGAGCCAGGAGTAACCCCTGTGCATCGCCGGGTGTGACCCAAAAAGAAAAAAAAATACCAAACACAGTATTCCAAAATGCTCTACACTGAGGTCAGAGGGATAGTACATCTGTTAAGGGGCTTGCTTGCCTTGCACAAGGCAAACCAGGGTTCAATTCCCAGCACCCATATGATTCTCTGAGCCCATAAGCATTGAGTCCTGTCAAACATGGCCAAAAAAACTATTCTGGATGATCCCACTTAAAATGTAGATGTAAGCATAAGCATGTATATGCAATTACATATTTGTCAATGAGAAAGGTCTTATAGAAGATTGTCTCTGCATGACACAATGAGGAACAATTCATTCAAATTTGTGGTTATCTATAATTTCTAAGTTTTCTACCACAAAGTGATTTCTTATATACACTTTCTAAATTTAAAAGAATATCAAAGTACGGGCCAGAGAGATAGTACAATGGGTAAGGAGTTTGCCTTGCATACAGCCAACCTCGGTTCAATCCCAGGCATCCCATGTGGTCCCCTGAGCACCGCCAGGAATAAATTCCTGAGTGCAGAGCCAGGAGTAACCCCTGACCATCGCCAGGTGTGGCCCCAAAACCAAAACAGAAACAAAAAATATACCAAAGCATTTGTGATAAAGAAAACTAAATGTTTGTGCTTCTTGTATCAGACGATATATATCAGGCTATCCTTTTGGAAGTTAATTTCACCTACTCAACTCTTTTTGAAACTGAATGTTTGCCTTCTGTGTAGCTGAAATTCTCACTGTAAGGACAGGCTTTAGAGTCAGAAACATATAAAGCCAGACTCTAAATAAACATTCTTGAGCAAGTTTACTCATTTTAAAACATGTATGTGTAACAACAGCACCTACCCTGGCAAGCTGGCAAGGGATTAATTACATTAATACATACAAACCTCTTAGCATCAGCAATTCAGCTTGTTCTTAACCCATTCTGAGATCTCATTAGAACAAGCGTTAAGCGTGCTGAGAGTTTCATAAAATTTCTCATAAATGAAATGTTTAAGACACAAGAGGAATCTAAAGCTTCACTTGAAATATTCTGTCACTGTCTTTTCACCTTCAATGTCTACAGACTTTGAGAGTTTTAAAGGGTCTATAATGATTAGACTAAGGCCATCATTATAGCATATGTACAGCCAACCCAGTTCAATCCCCCAGCACATGACACGATCCCCCAAGAACTTCCAGGAGAGATCTCTGAGAACTGAGCCAGGGACAGGCCCTGGGCATTGAAGGGTGTAGAATTCCCCACCACCAAAAAAATGTTTATATACATATATACTTATGTGTATATGTATCAACATTTTATTAAAAATATATGTGTAAAAATATATGCATATATATATACACATGCGATATGTTATATTCATAAATTTAAAGATATACATTTATAAATAAACTCAGGTAAAATGTGCTATTTATTTTTATTGAACTATAGACAGAAGAAGTCTACAGAACACTTTTAAAATTCTTCAACTTCCTTGCGTGCAGCCAGCCTGGTTGAGCCGGGTTTGATTCCTCTGCCCTTCTCGGAGATCCTTGCAAGCTACTGAGAAAATTCAATATGCCAAACACAGTAACAAGAAGTCTCACAATGGAGACGTTACTGGGCCCTTCGAGCAAATCGATGAACAACGGGAGGACAGTGTTTGTTTGACAACTTCCTAAAACAGCACCTCTAAATTAATTAGGGAGGAACTGTTCACTAGATTATAAGTTAAAAAAATAAGTAAGCTACATTTACCTCTAATTGCTCTTGTGATGATAGAGGACGCACCATGTTTTCGGTTGCCTCGAGGCTACAAATAGAAAAAAAAATTCAGGATTTTCTAGTAACACATACAGGTAAAGTTATATTTCTTTAATAATAATTATATACCCAGTAAGTTTAATACTTACTGAATACAAGTTACCAGTATTTAGATAGTACTTTTAAACAAGTAAAAACCAAAGTGGGAACAGTTCCAGGGAAAGTATTACCGAACTGCAGAGTGACAGGTATCACTGAACCTTGCAGAGAAAAGTCAATTTGAGACCAGAAATGTGTTAGGTGTTTCCTAATCAAAGCATCAATCCAAAGACAAGAGAAGTCAAGAGCAAAATACCCAGAGATGGCCAGTTCAGCACTGAGTAAGCCACAAAGACTTGAAACAAGTTTCCTTTCCTTTGCACAAAAAGTGGTTATACAGAATACTTCATGTCTTGAGACAAATTAAATGGGTTCAAAACAGAAAGTTTTTCATTTGACAAACATTAATCAAGCATCCACTTCAAGAAAGGTGCTACGAGGTTTTAAATTGAGACCGAGCTTTTTTTTTTTTAAATTTGAATGTGGTTCTAAAACGCTGTGATAAGTAAACAAAAGGTGCAGAAGAGAAGAAACTTACTTTTGGGTGAGAGAGCTAGTACCAGGGGGTAGGTAAGGCGCTTGCTTTGCATATGGTCCCCCGGGTACCACCAGGAGTGATAGGGACCACAGAACCAGGATTAAGCTATGAGCACAGCCAAGCGATCCCTCCCTTCCCCTCCCCCACCCCAATAAAGAAACATTCTTATCCTGGCAACAGCACTGCTTCCCAGCTGCATAACCCACAAAACATTCACACCGTTCCCAGAAAACAGCAACTAAGTAAATACTTTAAAAAATAAAATAAAATAAGACAGTAACTTTCAGAGATCTTGCCAGCCCACAAAATACACTACTTCAGAAGAACTGAAGGAAGGAGATTAAAGAAAAACCACAAACTTGGGGCAAGAGATAGAACAGACAGTAAGGCGTTTAGTTTGCATGCTGCTGACCAGGGTTCCATTCCCAGCAACCCATATGGTCCCCTGGGCACTGCCAGGAGTAATCCCTGAGTGCAGAGCCAGGAGTAACCCTTGTGTATTGCTGGGTGTGACTCAAAAAGAAAAAAAAAAGAAAAAAAAAACCCACAAACTTTATGGGAGAATGAAAAGCTTCCCCAGAAGAGAAATACTTAAGGAGTAGTACTGCAAAAGGGAATTCTCTTGGGCTGGATTACATGATCTTTAAGAAAATTCTTTGTGCTCATGCTGCCTGTCTGAGTCTAAAACAGCAACTGTCAGGTGTTAGGCACTCAAAAAAACATGTTGCATGAATGTAGATTGTAGATCCCTACTAATCATTGTGTACCTGGAAGGTATTCTATGGCATAACTCAAATCTTCAAGGTCCAGTTCAGTTCACCTAACCCAGTAACACCTGCTCTGACCCAACCCCACTCAGTGTCAACTGGCCTTCTCCTAGGTCTTTATCTTCTATTCCACTTATTTTTTCTTATTATTATTAAATTGAATAATATATTATTATTATATTGAATCATGGTGAGATAGTTACAACGCTTTCATGATTGAGTTTCAGTTATACAATGACTGAACACCCATTCCTCCACCAGTGTACATTTTCCACTACCAATGTACTCGAATCCCTCCCACCACCCCCATCCCACCCCACCCCCTGCCTCTACAGCAGACAACTTCCTTCCTACGCTCTCTACTTTGGGGCTTTATGTACAGTGCTTGAATAGAAACGTTTAGTGCTTTTACTGCTGGAATAAAAACGCTTAGTGGCTTGTCTCCACTTTACTGAGGCATGCTCCAAGAAAGCAGGTCACTTCAGTGCAGCCAGCTCCTAGCACCCGATCTGGGACAGGACAGGACACACACACACACACAGACACACACACACACACTTAAGTCACACACACACGAACTTAAGTCACACCCACACACACACAAAGTTAAGTCAGTGCTTATTTATTCAAACACACATAAGTCAAGGCGCCAATTCAGGCCCCAATCTGGAACAGGACAGGACAGGACAGGACACACACACACACACACACACACACATACACACAAATTGAAGTCATTGCTGGGACAAGACACACACACACACACACAAAGTTATTTATTTATTCAAACACACAGTGCTTATTTATTCAAACACACAGAAGTCCAGGCACCAATTCTGCCACCGATCTGGGGCAGGACAGGACACACACACACACACACACACACACAATTAAGTCACTGCTTTCTTATTCAAACACACAGAAGTCCAGGCGCCAATTCAGCCCCCGATCTGGAATAGGACAGGACAAGACAGGACAGGACAGGACATACACAAACTTAAGTCGTTGCTGGGACCACACACACACACACACACACACACACACACACACACATACACACACGCACACACATCACTGCTTACTTATTCAATCACCCCATTCAGTCCAGCAGTCGTGGCGGCCCGCCAGACGCACAGATGCCTGTCGAGGCCGGGGCCAGCTCTCCCGCCGCAGCGGCGAGCCAGCCCTCGCCCGCCACCCCGGGAGGCCACCGCGAGCCCAGAGACGCACGAGCCGGACCCGCCGCGCCCGGCCAGTGCCCACCCGTCCAGGCGCGGCCGGCGACACTGACAAGAGAGCAGCAAAGTCAAAAGTCCAGGCAGGGCTCTAGAGCATCTCGGTGCCGGAGCCCAGAAAGCCAAAGGTGGGCTGCAGAGCAAATCTCGGGACCCCCACCAATTCCCCACCACCACCACCACCGGGCCCCTCCGTGGGAGACCCGGCCCCGCCGCGCCGTTGCCAGGGCGACCGTCCCCCGCCGCCCCCCCCCCGCCCTGACGGTGGCACTGCCCTACGTGGCACTGCGAGGAGCCTCTGCCCGTGCAGCCCGCGCGGAGCCGACGGCAACGCCGGCAGAGCCTGGTTCACCTGCACTTCAGTCTCCGGGGGCCACTCGGTGTTGACCAACAAGTCGTAAAGAATCGTCTCCTCCTCGCCCTCCGCCGGGTTGGAAACCACAGGCGACGCCGACCCGGAGGCCGCCATGTTGGCCGCGGAGCCGCGGAGGGAGGGAGGGCCAGTACGGCAGCCCGCGGGGATCATGATTCCTTGGCCGCGACCGCTCGGCCTCCGCGGGGCGGGGCGGGGTGGGGCGGGGCAGGCGCTCCCTTGGAGAGGAAGTGCCCGCGAACTCTCCCATCCCTGGAGAGGTCGTGACTGTTGTTCCCTGGGACCACTCACCCCGACTCTCTGAACCTCGGTGCGCTCCTGGTTGAAGTCATCTTCCTTCGTGAGATCAGCGAAGTCCGAACCTTTCACCTAGACTGCTTCTGTAAAGCTTAGACGTTGTACAAGTACGGCCCTGATTAGGCTTGCATACGTATATAGCCGCTGCAAGTGTTTGCCTAGCATCTGGAAAGCGTGCAGTCGGTGATTTTGCAAATAAACACCGACGAGTTACCCAGTACCACAGGTTAAGCCAACGAGAGCGACCTGAGGAAAGATGCTATTGGCGCTCCGAATAGGCGGTGGAAGTTGGATGTCTGCAGGGGGCTTTCTGCAGGAAGTGGCCCTTCTGCTGGATCTGTAACGAAGCTTGAATTTTCAAACAGGTGGAGAAGTTTAGAGGCAACGTTTCCAGTAGCAGGAGCTGGAGGTGGCAAAAACACTCAGAAATAGTCCTTAAAAATAGCTGGCAATGGAATAGAATCCAAATGGAGATTGTGCTTGTGGCGTGGGGAATGCAACAAAGTTGATATCCCGAGGACTTGGGGCCAGGGAAATAGTTCAGCAAGTAAGGCATTAGGGTGTAGCCCAAAAAAAAACAATAATAATAGCTTAAGGAACTATTTCGAGACAGCTAAACTGCCAACCTCATTGGTTCATTCATTCAACAAGAGAGTCTGAGGAAAGTCCTATAAGCCAAATGAAGTGATCTAAGTTCAAATCAAATCAACTGTCAAAGAAATAATTGGGTGGCAGAAGTTTAGAGAGTTAATTGGCCTTTTTCAGGGACTATAAAGTTAATGTACAAACTGAGGCATTTTTGAGGCGATTTGCAGTAGTAAAGAAGCCTCCTGAGCAAGACATCCCTGGGGAAATTGGCATGCTAGTGCGGAATGGGAGAATGAATGAGTTAAAGGCAAAACTCTGGGTGTTTCATGGGAACAGCAAGACTTTTTCTGTCATCCCAATTATCTTCTTCCTCTCTCATGCAAGCAGTACTTATCATTTTTGTCTATCCAGGCCATTTCTTTGCTTTGAAGAAATGTTCCCACTGCTCTTCTGTCTATCAAGTCTTTTCATGCTAGTGGAACTGACAGTCTCTAAACTGAGTCTCATTGAGTCAAGTTGTCGAAGAGCAGCATTCATGCATGATTCAAGAATTTGACTTGGAATTTTTCCTTTGAATTTTATTTATTTGGGGTTTTTTGTTTCTTTGGCTAGAAGTAGAGAAAAAAGCACATTTCCTTTTGGATCACAGACTTTGACAAGTATCAGTTAGACTTTGTCAGCAGTCATCTTTTTCACACCTCCTCATTCAAGGGAGGTGAGGGAATAAAACCAAAACACTGAGGAAAACTGGATTTCAGATGATATCACATGCCTGAAAGTTTTGACATCTATGTATATCTATCTTCCCAGGTAAGTGGCACAGTGAATTGGAGTTGAATTTCAGTGCACTAAAACTGTTCCACTCAATGTTTTCTTCCAACACACTCTGCATATTTACCTGCTTCAGACAATATATTTAATGTTTAGATCTCTGCGACATTGCGTTCAAATTGAGTTATCAGTTATTTTATTGAGTCATCAATTATGTTAATATTCCATTCATGCAATGATAATGTTATAATATAAAAGTAAAGGCCCTCCCGTTGATCATCGATTTGCTCGAGCAGGCCCAGTAACGTCTCCATTGGAGACTTTGTTGTTACTGTGTCTGGCATATCGAATACGTCACTGGGAGCTTGCCAGGTTCTGCCGTGCGGGCGAGATACTCTCGGTAGCTTGCCGGGCTCTCTGAGAGGGGGGGAGGAATCGAATTCGGGTCGGCCATGTTGGCTACATGCAAGGCAAACGCCCTACCGCTGTGCTATCACTCTAGCCCTGTTATAATATAGGTAGTCAATAACCATGGTCATTACTGCATTGATGACTTACAGAGTTATTTCATTCTGCACAGAAAAAAACTAAGGAGATTCAAACCTTCACTTACAGAAAAGGAAACTGAAGCTCTCCTTCACTGATGGTGGGAATGCCGACTGGTTCAGCCATTTTGGAAAACAATATGGACGTTTCTCAAAAAACTAAAAATTGACTCCCCCTTGACCCAGCAATACCACTTCTGAGAATATTTCCCAGAAATGCAAAAAAAAGACAGTAGAAATGACATCTGAACTTGTATATTTATTACAGCACTATTTACAATAGCCAGAAACTGAAAAAAAAAAAACCCAAAGGGCCAAAAACAGATGACTGGTTACAGAAACTTTGGTACATATACATAATGGAATACTATGCAACTATTAAAAAAAATGAAATTTGCATATAAGTGGATCAACATGGAGAGTATCATGTTAAGTGAAATGACTCAGAGAGAGAGGGACAGACATAGAATGAATTGCACTCACTTGTGGAATATACGGTTACAGTATGGGAGACTAACACCCAAGGATAATAGAGATAAGGGCCAAGAGGATTGTTCCACAGCTTGGAAGCGTCCCCACATGCTGGGAGAAAAGGCAGCTAGGATAAATAAGGGAACACTAAGTGAATGATGCTTGGAGGGCTCGCGCAGGATGGGATATGCATGCTGAACTAGACTATAGACCAAACATGATGGCCACTTACTACCTGTATTGCAAACCATAATACCCAAAAGGAGAGAGAAAGTAAAAGGGACTGTGCCTGCCACAGAGGAGGGGGCGGGGGAGGAGGTGGGGTTGGTCAGAACATTGGTGGTGGAGAATGGGCACTGGTGTAGAAATGGGTAATTGATCATTGTATGACTGAAACATAATCACAAAAGTTTGTAAATCTGTATCTCACGGTGATTCATTAAAAAAATAAAAGTAATAAAAATACATAAATAAAAACTTAAAATTTTTTTAAAAAGGAAAGCTGAAAACTTTATGGACTGATTAAGGGAATAAGACACAAATGAAAGGGACAGTTCTAAAATGAGCGTGATAATAGTAATGGTAGTAACAGAAATGATAAGAATAGAGACAATATTTTGTGAATCTACTCTGCTCCAATCATGGTTTCATATACTTTGTAAAACCTTCTTTCTGTTCCTCTGTACAGAACTTTGGGGGGCGGGGGGGAAGGTTATATCGTTTGAGAGAAGGAAACTAAGACTCAAATCACTGTGATCCAGACTTGCATTCTGGTAATAGTGAAGCCAGGATTATAGCTCAGTGTCTGATGTTCCAGAGACTCATAGAGAAGATACTGAGATATATGCATTCCTTCCACTCTGCCCCCTAAGGTACATCCATTTTTTTGTTACTATTTATTTATTGACTCACCATGAGATCAACTACAAAGCTTTCAGGTTTAAGTCTGGGTCATACAAGGATCAAACACCCATCCCTTCACCAGTGCACATTTTCCACCACCAAGAACCCCAGTATACCCCCCATCCCATCCCTCCCCCTGACTGTGAGCAGATGATTTCCACTTAACTCTCTCTCTACTTTGATTGCATTCATTATTTTGACAAAAGATGCATCATTTTGCACAATTTTGGATTTCTGATATTTTACTAATGAAGTCTGGAGGGATTTCTGCCAAAAGCCACTGGGTTCCCAGATTGTTTTGTGTGCCTCTGGGACCATAGTCGTTCCAGAGCCGGAGAGTCGCTGGTGAGGGGCAACTCATGGTCTTGGCGGGGTGGAAAGGATGGGCCGGTTCCACCCCCATCCCATGAGACTACAAGTGCCCTGTCACCGCCGACTCATACCTGGCTGTCCAATAGTCTCTAAGACGGTGGCCACCATGCTGCAGGTGGGGGCGGGGGGAGGGAGGAAGGCGAGGTATATCCTTTCTTAAGAGAAGTAATCTGATATTGGGTAGAATAAAAAGCACAATTTTTCTATTTCTTCCTCTCCTTACAGCATATCAATGATGCCCCAATTAAACTAAAATAAGTTTATTTTCACTTTGCTGGTAAACATAGATATTGTATCAAAAATCAGAAAAAAATTATTTAACTATATTTCAAATAAAGGATTCATTTTTTTTCCATCTTATTTCTACCAGGTGTTACTATCATTAATCACACGTGTATTTTGTAGGGGTTGGGCTTTTTAGCTTTCAGCACTTAACCCTTTATAATTCTGAAAATATGACAAAAAGAGGTTAGTTCATCATGTGTAGTTACATAATAAAATTGAATTTTGACCTCTAAATGCTACCTGTTATAGATGTCAGACATTTGTACTTGATTGAATAGTAAACTAGTCTTTATGAAGCAAGTAAATTTTTATTGGAATATAAAATAATAATGAGAGCAATTCAGAAAATTCTATTTCCTCTACAAAACCGGGGGAATTCAGTCAATCTTTCCATAAATATTCTAGGACTTCTATAATATCTCTTGGCAGCCTTGTAGATAACTTAAAGTTCATGAATGGTATTAGGAAAGAAGAAATCTCCAGACCCTTTCTTAAAGCTCATTTATCCTAATTACACAACTCACACAGGCCATTTTTCCTCACTCACAAATGAAATGGAACAATAAGCTGAGGGACAGGTTTTTAGCAGAGGCACAAGCAGTAACAAGTACAAAAATAAATGAGCAGTAAGTGCCAGAGGTAAGGGAACAAATAAATTAGGGGGAGAAAAATCCGAACAAAATATAAGTGGACCAGGGATATAGTTTAGTGTACAGCACAAGCCTGACATGTGAAAGAACCTGAGTATGATATCTGGTACCAAAAAAAAAAAAAGAGAGAGAGGGATAGACATAGAAAGATTGCATTCATCTGGGGGATATAAAGTAACAAAGTATGAGATTAATACCCAAGAATAGCTGAGATCAGCACCAGGAGGATTACTCC